AGGCTGAGGCTGAGGCAGGCTGAGGCAGGCTGAGGCTGAGGCTGAGGCAGGCTGATGCTGAGGCAGGCTGAGGCTGAGGCTGAGGCTGATGCAGGCTGAGGCTGAGGCAGGCTGAGGCTGAGGCCGAGGCTGAAGGCAGACTGAGGCTGAGGCTGAAGCAGGCTGAGGCTGAGGCTGAGGCAGGCTGAGGCTGAGGCAGGCTGAGGCTGAGGCTGAGGCAGGCTGAGGCTGAGGCTGTGACTGTGACTGCCGTTGCCACTGCGACTGTCATCGCGAATGCGACTACGACTGCGAGAACAGCAGAATTCTACAACTGGATTTTCATCTGAATCTTAAGGGGAATGCTTCCAGATATGCTCCTACACATCGCTGTTAGGTTGCTTTGCCGGGATAATCGTATTCTCCCCTTTTCGCCGTCCCTGCGCTCCAGACGGCCCAAGAGGTCCCCAAGCCCGCTCCAAGACCACCGACGAGGCCCGCAAAAAGGCCTCAAAACGGGCCAAGAGGGCCCCCAGATGGTCCCAAGACGCCCCAAGACAGCCCAAGACGGCCCCAGAGGGCCCCCGGACGCCCCAAGCTGGGCCCAAGACGCGCCAAGAGGGCCCCAAGAGGCCCCCAAGACGGCCCCAGAGGGCTCCGGGACGCCCCAAGATGGGCCCAAGACGCCGAAGATTGGGCCAAGACGGCCCCAGAGGCGGGAGGACCCAAGAGGGCCCCAAGAGGGCCCCAAGAGGCTTCCCAGCAGGGCCTCGAGCGGGAGAAATCGTCGATTTCCATTGTGTTTTTCTATGTTTTTCGCATTCTCCCCTTTTCGCCGGCCCTGCGCTCCAAGACGGCCCAAGAGGTCCCCAAGACCGCTCCAAGACCCGAGCGGCGCGAATGGCCAAGACGGTCCAAGATGGTTCTCAGAGGGCCTCCGAGGGCCACTATCGCTTACTGTAGGCTCGTTCTGGGCGCCAAAGGGCCCTGCGGACCATTTTTCTAAGATTATCCCGGCAAAGCAACCTAACAGCGATACGTAGAAGCATATCTGAAAGCATTCCCCTTAAGATTCAGATGAAAATCCAGTTGTAGAATTCTGCTGTTCTCGCAGTCGTAGTCGCATTCGCGATGACAGTCGCAGCGGCAACGGCAGTCGCAGTCACAGCCTCAGCCTCAGCCTGCCTCAGCATCAGCCTCAGCCTCAGACTGTTGGCGAAAAGCGAGCCCGGCTCTGTTCCCGGTTCTCCAGAATGTGTCCCGGGAATGGAGTTCTGGGAGGTCGAAGAGCACGAAGTGTGTGACTGTTGGCGAAAACACGATTCCCGGTTCTCCTCCCCGGCACCCGCCCAGACCCCCTTGTGGAGTCCAGATGCTCTCTTTTGACCCTACTAGAAACCTATCAGCAAAAGCTGTTAGGTAAAAAAGTGCTTGCAGACCCCTTTGGGGGCCACTTGACATGGCATGGTGACGTTTTCTTGTCGTGACGGCTCCGGTGGGTTGCATGCGCGGCTGACAGCTGGGCCGTTTGAGCCCGCGAGGCTCTGGAAGGCGAAGGCTCCGAGGTGATGGCAAGATGCCTGGAGGAGAGCGTGGATTCGTCGGGGCGCCCGAGTGGTGCGAATGGCCAAGATGGCTTAAGATGGCGTGGGGCCTTGGCAAACTCTACGGGCCAAGCAGACCGGACCCCTGGGACAGCAGCCACTTGATATGACCCTGGGACCTCTCCGCATTCTTCGGACGAGCACCTGGGGGGCCCAGGAGATTCGGACAAGTCTTCCCCATTCCTTGCCCTGTCCCGTTCTGTTCGCCCGAAGGCCTCCACAGACACTCTGGGCGAACATAATGGGACATGGCGAACACACCCTCCCGTTGGCGGTGATGCGACTTGATCGCACCATCAAGGCGCGCCCGGAGGTGATGGCCGACCTTACAGCGGTTTCTCTAAAGATTGTACAGAATTTCAGATTTTCTTGAAGCTCTCTTGGGCCCTCCCTGTAGATCCTGGCGAGCCTCCCCGGCGCTTTCGGTGGCTTTCCCCGATGCCCTCCCGAGCCCTTCCCCGAGCGCTCCTGAGACGCCTCAGATGGGCTTCGACTTCGACGCCCATCCCCGAGAGACTTCGAAACTGTCCTCAATAGGAGGGGGGTGAACGAGCAGTTCGCTGGGCCAAGCTGCTGGAGCGCTGCAAGAGCTCGGACACGAAGGCGCGGTCTCGCTGCCGCCGCCCGAGCCGCCGCCGTGTTTGTAGATTTTCGGTGCAATCTGCGCCGTTCCTCCGAGAACCATTCCAGGAAGATGTCGTGGACGGAGTCCACGGGTCTGCCCTAGTTAGCTACAACGCTGGGATCAGCGCGTGTGAGAAGGGCGGGCAGTGGCAGCAGGCGCTGGCGCTGCTGAGCGTGATGTGGGAGGCGAAGCTGGAGCCCGACGTCATCTCTCCTACCATGGCCGGTGGAAGCGCGCGCGAGAAGCCCAGGGCCTCAAGTGCACAACATCGCCCCTTTACGGCGCCACCACGTGGCCGAATCGCTCAGACCGGTCTCCTCCTCCTCCTCCTCCTCCTCCTCCTCCTCCTCCTCCTCCTCCTGCCTCCTCCTCCCTCCTCCTCCGTCTCCTTCTCCCTCCTTCTCCTCCTCCTCCTCCTCCTCCTCCTCCTCCTCCTCCTCCTCAGAGGCGCTCCAGAGGGGTTCCCAGACCGTCCAAGAGCGCTCCAAGACGGCCTCAGCGGGTCCCGAGGCGGCCCACGAGGGCCCGAAGCCTTCCGGGGGGGGGGGGGCTCCACGACGATACGAGAGGCCGCAAAGACGCCCCAAGAGGGCCCCGAGCGCACGCCACAGAGGCACAAATCGTCAAATTCCTATAGGAAACCGTATATTTTCAGCATGCCCGCCTTGTGTGCTCCTCAGCAGCCCAGGACACGCCAAGAGGCCTCACAAATCGCCCCAAGCTGAGAAGGCTCCAAGACAGCCCACAAGAGCCCCAAGACGACGCTAACCCCAAGACGGCCCAAAGAGAGCTTCGAGGGGGCCCCAACATGCTCCAAAGACGGCCTCAGGCAGCCTCAAGAGAGCTCCAAGATGGTCCTAGGCCTGCCGGACGCCCCGTGACGGCCCAAAATGGCCCCAAGACGTTCCAAAACGCTCCCCAAGAGGGTCCCGAGTGGTCAAAATCGTTTGTTGTCCTACGCTTTCCCAGAGATTTCCCGCTTGCCGCCAATTCAGCTATCGGACACTCGAAGCAGACCTGGAAGACTTCAAGGCCACCCAAAACGTTCCCAGGAGGCTCCCAGGAGGGCCCCAAGACGGGCCAAGACCGCCCCACCACGGCCCAAGGCGCGCTGAAGACGGCCCAAGACAGTTCCAAGACGGCTCCACGAGGGTGCCAACACGGCCTCAGACGGGCCCAGGACGGCCCAAGGCGCGCTCAAGAGGACTCCAAGACGGTCCCAGGAGGGTGCCAACACGGCCGCAGATGGCCCCAGGACGGCCCAAGGAGGCGCCCGGTCGGGGCCTCAAGACGGGCCAAGATGGCAAGAGAGCCCCAGCTGGCAAAAATCGTTAATTTCCCATTGTTTATTGTTACGCCCTTTGCGTTTCCCACCATTTCGGCGGTCCGATGCCCCAAGAGGCCCCAGAAAGTCCCAGGAGGGTCCGAGGAAACGCCCAGGAAGCCCCAAGACGGGCCAAGACGGACCCAGCACAACCCAAGGCGGGCTGCGACGGCTCAGGACGGCTCCAAGACAGCCCCAAGAGGGTGCCAACACGGCCCCTGCTGGGCTCAGGACGGCCCAAGGAGGCGCACAGGAGGGGCCCAAGACGACTCCAAGGCGGCCCCCTCACGGCCCCAGACGGCTCCAAGACAACCCCACGATAGTGCCAACAAGGACCCCGATGGGCCCAGGACGGCCTACGGACGCGCCCATGAGGGGCCCACGACGAACCAAGACGGCCCCATCACGGCAAACGGCGCCCTCAAGACGGGCCTATATGGCTCCAAGACGGCCCTTTGAGGGAGCCAACGCGGCCCCACACCTTTCGGGCGAACACTTGGGAGGGCTGGGAGCTTGCGACAAGTCTCCCACATTCATTGTCCTGCCCCATTCTGTTCGCCTGGAGGCCTCCTCCAACCCTGTGGGCGAACAAGAGGAAACCCAGCGGGCCGCCAACCCTGGGGCCCGTGGGCCCCGCGCCGCTCGGGCAGAAGACGAACGCCGGGTCTGACAGGCCAGCTACCGCCCCCCTTTGCCCGATATGCTGTGCCATTATGTTCCCCCAGGGGCCTTGGCAAACTCTTCGGGCCAACCAGACCGGACCCCTGGGACAGCAGCCAATTGATACGACCCTGGGACCTCTCCGCATTCTTCGGACGAGCACCTGGGGGGCCAAGGAGATTCGGACAAGTCTTCCCCATTCCTTGCCCTGTCCCGTTCTGTTCGCCCGAAGGCCTCCACAGACCCTCTGGGCGAACAGAATGGGACATGGCGAACACACCCTCCCGTTGGCGGCGATGCGACTTGATCGCACCATCAAGGCCTGCCTGGAGTTGATGGCCGACCCAACAGCGGTTCCTCTTAAGATTTTACTGAATTTCAGATTTTCTTGAAGTTCTCTTGTGCCCTCCCTGTAGATCCTTGCGAGCCTCCCCGGCGCTTTCGGTGCACCATGGCTTTCCCCGATGGCCTCCCGAGCCCTTCCCCGGGCGCTCCTGAAACGCCTCAGATGGGCTTCGACTTCGACGCACATCCCCGAGAGACTCCGAAACTACCCTCAATAGGAGGGGGGTGAACGAGCAGTGCGCCGCAAGAGCTCGGACACGATGGCGCGGTCTCGCTGCCGCCGCCCGAGCCGCCGCCGTGTTTGTAGATTTTCGGTACAATCTGCGCCGTTCCTCCGAGAACCATTCCAGAAAGATGTCGTGGACGGAGTCCATGGGTCAGCCCTAGTCTCTCCTACAACGCTGGGATCAGCGCGTGCGAGAAGGGCGAGCAGTGGCAGCATGCACTTACGGTGCTGAGCGAGATGCAGGAGGCGAAGCTGGAGCCCGACGTCATCAGCTACAGCGCTGGGACTAGCGCGTGCGAGAAGGGCGGGCAGTGGCAGCGAGCCCTGGCGCTGCTGAGCGAGATGCGGGAGGCGAAGCTAAAGCCCAACGTCATCAGCTACAACGCAGGGGTCAGCGCGTGCGAGAAGAACGGGCAGTGGCGGTCGGCGTTGGCGCTGCTGAGCGAGATGTGGCAGGCGAAGCTGGAGCCCGACGTCATCAGCTACAGTGCTGGGATCAGCGCGTGCGAGAAGGGCGAGCAGTGGCAGCGAGCCCTGGCGCTGCTGTGCGTGATGCGGGGGGCGAAGCTGGAGCCCAACGTCATTTTTTGATACAGTACCAGAATCAGCGCGTGCAAAAAGAGGGCCCAGTGGCATCGGCCCGCCTCGGCCCGGCTCGGCCCGGCTCGGCCCGCTGCGGGCAGGCGCTCCGAGCTGCCCCCCGGATGCCCCCCAGAGGGCCCGAAGACGGCCGAAGACAGTCCAAAAGGGCGTCCGCGACGGGCCCCGAGCGCTCGAAGACTCCCAAGACAGGCGCCCGATGGCCCCAGAGGCCACCAAAATGCTCTAAGTGGGCTCCAGAGAGAGCTCCAGGAGAGCCCGAACAAGGACAAATCGTCCCAATCCTGGGGGGAGACGTGCATTTCAGGAGTTTCCGTGCTCTTCGTCGTCGAAGCGTCCAAGACGGCCAGAGAGGCCCTCAAGATCGTCCCAAGACGCCTCGGAAGGCTGCCAGGAGGGCCTCTAGACGGCTCAAGACTGCGCCAGGTCGGCTCCTCAGGCGCCCATGGCGGCCCCAAGAGGGGGCCAGGACAGGGTGGGAGCGCTACCGAGGGGCCCCAAGAGGGGGCCAGCAGGGCCCCAAGAGGGCCCCGACAAGGCCTCATGACGCATGTACTTGGGTGCCCCTCTCGCACGCCCAAGAAGCATAACAAGTACATGCGGTTTGGCTCCCTTTTGGAGCCCCCTGGGGGCGCTCTTGCGGCCCTCGTGGGGCCTCCGGGCCCCTCCAAGACAGGGCCAAGTGCATTCTGCCACAGAAAGATCTCTCGTGGCGGTACCCTCTGGAGGCCTTCTTCGTGCCCTCTGGCACGACGGCCCCAAGACGGTCCCGACACTGCCCCGGGGACACCCGAGTTGTTCAACTTTGATGAGCTGTTCACCCACGGCGTGCGAGTCCCAGGTTCAGCACATGTGGATTTAACCCACGGGCTCGCACTAGTCTGTACTGCAATTCTAGTCGCGGCGCGCGCGAGAAGGAACATCTGCGGCAGCGCCCCGGGCCGGGCCGCCCAGGGAGCCTGTGGGGCGCTCCTCGGCGGCCCCACAAGGCCCCTGGAGCGCTCGCCGACGGCTCCAGGACCCCCAGATCGCCCCCAGACGGCCTCACAGACGCCCACGAGGGCCGAAGCCGACCCGACCGGAGGAGCCCCCTGACGGCCCAAACAGGCTTCAGAGACTGCCCCGAGGACCGCCTGGACTGCGCCAAGGAGCAAAACTTGTGCGTTTTCTGGAAGTGTCGAGGGTTTTCCTGTTTCCCGCCACTTCGGGCTCACAACGGCCCAGGATGCCCTGGGGGCTTCCCGCATCGCCCCTGCACAGTCCCAGAGGGCCCCAGGAGGGCCCCCAGACAGCCCAAGAAGGCCCGTAGACGGCCCAAGAGGCTCCCAAGACGGCCCAAGTGAGATTCAAGTGACTCCCAAGCCAGCCCCAACCGGGCCCCAGACCCCGCCCGACGGGGCCCAAAGCGATTTCCGAAACGGCCCGAGGCCCCCAAGATGGCCCCAAGACGCCCCAAGAAGGGCCCAAGATGCCGCCCAAGAGGGCCAAAAGCGACCTCCGAGACGGCCCGAGACCGCAAAGATGGCCCCAAGACCTCCCTGCGCGGCCCCCAACCGAGGCCCGCAAACGTGGCCCCCTCACTCTGACTGTGCCTGAAAGCCCTGGTATTTTTGCCAATCGCGCCTAGGCCCGGCGCGATAAGCAAAAACCCATCTCTTTTCACGCTTCCAGCTCAGTGCCTCCGGAGCTCCCCGACTGCTTCCCAGGGTGGCCCCCAGATGTGGCCCCCAAACGTCGGCCCTACACGCGGCCCCCAAACGGGACCCCCAAAGGCAACCCCCACACAAAGCCTCCGAAGGTTGCCCTTAGCTCCCCAGTATAAGCGTGGCCCCCGAACGTCACCCCCACGTGCAGCCCCCAGTCGCCCCCAAACGTGGGCCCCACACGCAGCCCCCAACCATTGCTTTAAAATGTGACCAACACATGTGCCTCCGAAGGTCGCCCCTACCGCCCCAGGGACGCCCGAGGTGTTCAACTTCGACGTGCTGGTCACCTACGGTGTGCGAGTCCCAGGCTCAGCACGCCGTGGATTTCATTCACGGGTTCACACTAGTCAGCTACAGCGCTGTGATCAGCGCGTGTGAGAAGGGCGGGCAGTGGCAGCCGGCGCTGGCGTTGTTCAGCGAGATGCGGGAGGCGAGTCTGGAGCCCAACGTCATCTGTACTACAATTCCGGGCGAAGCGCGCGCGAGAAGGTCAGGCAGTGGCAGCGCCCCGGGCCGCCCAGAGAGCTCGTGGGCCGCCCGGAGAGCCTCTGGGCTGCTGCCCGACGGGCCCGGGAGGCCCCCGGACCGCTGGCGGACTGATCCAGGATTCCCAGATCGCCCCAAGACGGCCTCAGGAGGTCCCGAAGACGGCCCAAGACGGTCCAAGAGTGGATCCGAGACGCTCAAAATGGCTTCAAGACGCCTTCAAGACGGCCCGGGACGCGTCCACGAGGCCCCCAGAGCGCTCGAAGTGTACCTCCAAGAGGGGCCGCAGAAGCCAAAATCCTTGATTTTCTTTGTTTTTTTGTCCGATGTTTCTGACCTTCTTGCGTTTTCGGCTTTCCAACGCTCCAAGACCGCCCAAGAGGCCCCCCAGACTGTTCCGAGACGGCCCAAGAGGCCTTCAAGACGGCCCCAAGACGGCCCAAGAGGGCCCCAAGACGGCCCAGGAGTCGCCCAAGACAGCCCAAGAGGGCCCCAAGAAGGCCCCAAGAGAGGCCCCAGACAGGGACCCGGAACTGAAGAAATTAGGCCTCCACCCCAAGAGGCGCCCAGGAAGCCCCAAGACGCCCCAAAGAAACGCCGGGACGCTCCCAAGACATCCCCAGGAGGCCCCAGGACGCCCCAAAGAGGCTCCAAGAGGCCCCCCAGAGGCCGCCAAGCGCCCCAAAAGACCCCCAAGAGGCCCCAAAAGAAGGCCCAAGAGGCCCCAAGAGGCCCCCAAACTGCTACCAAGGAGCCCCCAAACTGTCTCCCAGAGGCTCCCGAGAGGCCAGCCATGAGATCCCAACCAACATCCACGAGATCTCTTACCCATTACCCAGGCCCGCAGCGACATTGCCCGCAGGCCACTACAGCCAGTTCGGGATCCCTACGTATACCAGCACCCGCACCCTTGGCTGTATCGGGGGCCTCACCGCTGCTCTCTCGAATCTGCTGGCTTCGATCTGCCAGAGCTCTCGAGACGGCCATCTCGACGGCCCGAGAACCCCGAGATGGCCCCAGGACCACCCTGCGCGGGCCCGCTAACGTGGCCCCTTCACTCTGACGGTGCTTGAAAACCCTTGAGTTTGCTGATCGCGCCCAGTCCCAGCGCGATTAGCAAAAACCCATTCCTTTTCACACTTCCAGGTCAGTGCCCCCGGGGCTCCCCGACTGCTTTCTGAGATCGCCCCTGGACGTGGCCCCTTACACGTCGGCCCCACGCGCGGCCTCCAAACGGGACCCCCAAAGGCGGCCCCCACACAAAGCCTCCGAAGGTCGCCCCTACCGCCCCAGGAAGCGTGGCCCCCGAACGTCAACCCCACGCGTAGCCCCCAGGCGCCCCCAAACGTGGCCCCAACACACACACAGCCCCCAACCATTGCCCTCAAACGTGACCGTCACATCTGCCCCCAAACCCCACACCCTCAAACGCGACCGTCGCATGTGCCCCCGAACCCCGCACGCGGCCCCCAAACATGGCCCCCAGCAGGGCCGCGAACGTTGGCCCCAACCATGACACCCTGACGAGACCCCCCAACGTGGCCCTCAAACGAGGCCCCCCAACGTAGCGCCCAACTCTGGCCCCCACGCGTCCACCCCCCACATCGAACTTCTCGCGCACAGGGACTCTGTAAGATCGTTCGGGCCCCCTTACTCTGATTGCGTCTGAAAACCTATGTGTTTCTGCTAATCGCGCCCAGGCCTCGCGCGATTAGCAAAAACACATTACTTTTGACGCTTCCAGTGCTTCCGACACGTGCGCGTTCGGGACCAATGCCTGGACCTGCGGGCCGTGGATTTTCCACGGGTTCACACTAGTCAGCTACAGCGCTGGGATCAGCGCGTGCGAGAAGGGTGGGCAGTGGCAGCCGCCGCTGTCGCTGCTAAGCGAGATGCGGGAGGCGAAGCTGGAGCCCGACGTCATCTCTTCTACAATGCAGGGACCCGCGCGTCTTGAGTGGCCCCCCGGGCCCTCCGGGGCGCCCCCCAGGAGGCTCCCAAGAGGCCCCCAAGAGCGCCCCAGACCGGCCCGAGAGGCCTCCAAGAGCGCCCCAAGACAGCCCAAGAGGGCCCCAAGACGACCCAAGAGACGCTCAAGACGGCCCACGAGGGCCCGAAGACACCCAAGAGGGGGCCAAGAGGGGGACCATGGGACCGAAAATCCGAGCATTCGCCCCAAGTGGGCGCCAGGAGGCCCAAACAAGCCCCAAGAGGCCCCAAGGGGCTGCCAACAATCCCCCGAAGAGGCCCCAGGAGGCTCCCAAGGAGCCCAAACGAGGCTCCAACAGAGGCCCCGACAGCTTCCAAAAAGGTCCCAAAGAGGCCTCGAGCCCGCCTCCGGTGGGCCCAGGACGGCCCAAGGACGCGCCAGGTCGGGGCCTCAAGACGGGCCAAGATGGCAAGAGAGCCCCAGCTGGCAAAAATCTATCATTCTCCATTGTTTACTGTTTCAGCCGTTGCGTTTCCCGCCATTTCGGCGGTCCGATGCACTAAGAGGCCCCAGAAAGTCCCAGGAGGGTCCGAGGAAACGCCCAGGAAGGCCCCAAGACGGGCCAAGACGGACCCAGCACAACCCAAGGCGCTCTGCGACGGCTCAAGACGGCTCCAAGACAGCCCCAAGAGGGTGCCAACACAGCCCCTGCTGGGCCCAGGACGGCCCAAGGAGGCGCACAGGAGGGGCCCAAGACGACTCCAAGGCGGCCCCCTCGCGGTCCCAGACAGCTCCAGGACAGCCCCACGCTCCGATGGGCCCAGGACGGCCTACGGACGCGCCCATAAGGGGCCCACGATGCACCAAGACGGCCCCATCACGGCAAACGGCGCCCTCAAGACGAGCCTAGACGGCTCCAAGACGGCCCTTTGAGGGAGCCAACGCGGCCCCGCACCCTTCGGGCGAACACTTGGGGGGGCTAGGAGCTTGCGACAAGTCTCCCACAGTCACTGTCCTACTGCCCCATTCTGTTCGTCTGGAGGCCTCCTCCAACCCTGTGGGCGAACAAGAGGAAACCCAGCGGGCCGCCAACCCTGGGGCCCGTGGGCCCCGCGCCGCTTGGGCAGAAGACGAACGCCGGGTCTGACAGGCCAGCTACCGCCCACCTTTGCCCGATAAGCTGTGCCATTCTGTTCCCCCAGGGGCCTTGGCAAACTCTTCGGGCCAACCAGACCGGATTCCTGGGACAGCAGCCAATTGATATGACCCAGGGACCTCCCCGCATTCTTCGGACGAGCACATGAGGGGCCCAGGAGATTCGGACACATCTTCCCCAGTCCTTGCCCTGTCCCGTCCTGTTCGCCCGAAGGCCTCCACAGACCCTCTGGGCGAACAGTTTGGGACATGGCGAACAAACCCTCCCGTTTGCGGTGATGCGACTGGATCGCACCATCAAGGCGTGCCCGGAGGTGATGGCCGACCCAACAGCGGTTTCTGTAAACAGTTTAAAGAATTTCACGTTTTCTTGAAGCTCTCTTGGGCCCTCCCTGTAGGTCCTTGCGAGCCTCCCCGGCGCTTTCGGTGGCTTTCCCCGATGGCCTCCCGAGCCCTTCCCCGGGCGCTTCTGAGACGCCTCAGATGGGCTTCGACTTCGACGCACATCCCCGAGAGACTTCGGAACTGCCCTCAATAGGAGGAGGGTGAACGAGCAGTGCGCTGGGCCAAGCTGCTGGACCGCTGCAAACGCTCGGACACGAAGGCGCGCTCTCGCTGCCGCCGCCCGAGCCGCCGCCGTGTTTGTAGATTTTCGGTACAGTCTGCGCCGTTCCTCCGAGAACCATTCCAGAAAGATGTCGTGGACGGAAGGCCGCGGGTCAGGCCTAGTCAGCTACAGCGCTGGGATCAGCGCGTGCGAGAAGGGCGGGCAGTGGCAGCCGGCGCTGGCGCTGTTGAGCGAGATGCGGGATGCGAAGCTGGAGCCCGACGCCATCATCGGCTGCAGCGCTGGGATCAGCGCGTGCGAGAAGAGCGGGCAGTGGCACCGGGCGCTGGCGCTGCTGAGCGAGATGCGGGCCGCGGAGCTGCAGCCCGACGTCATCTGTACTACAGTCGGGGCCCTGAAGAAGGAGGGCCTTTTCGTTGGGGAGGGGCTCCGCGTTCCTTAAGTGCTTCGCAGCTTGCCTCAGGTTTTCCTTAGGCTTTCGATGTGAAATCGAAGTTAACTTATGGAAGAAAGGGGCCTCGTTCCTTATTTTGGGTTCCTTCGGTCAAGGCCCCGACTGTACTACAATCCCAGGCGAAGCGCGTGCGAGTTGTAGAAGCAGGGGCCACGCCCCGTGCCGCCCAGAGAGCCCGCGGACCGCCTGGAGAGCCTCCAGGGCGCGCCTCGACGGCCCCAGAAGGGCTCTGGAACGCTCGCCGACGGCTCGAGGACCCCCGGGCCGCCCCAAGGCGGCTTCACAGACGCCCACGAGAGCCGAAACCCACCCGACCGGAACCCAAAAAGGCCTCAGAGATTGGGCGTTGTAATGGAGGGGTCGTAAATAGGGGGGTGGCGAGGGTGGTCCGAAAAGGTACCCAAACGGTACCTGAACGAGCCCCCTGGGGCTCCGGAGGGGCCCGAACCGTGCACGAAAGGGGACCGTTTCTGACCCCCCCATTTATGACCCCCCCATGGAGCCACGCCCAAAGAGACTGCCCCCGAGGACCGCGTGGACGGCGCCAAGGGGCAATACTTGTGCGTTGTCCGAAGGTTTCGAGGGTTTTCCTGTTCCCGCCACTTCGGGCCTACAACGGCCCAGGTTGGCCCTGGGAGCTTCCCAGATCGCCCCGGCACGGTCCCAAAGCGCCCCAGGAAGGCCCCCAGACGGCCCAAAAAGGCTTGTAGACGGCCCAAGAGGCCCCCAAGACGGCCCAAGAGAGATTCAAGTGACCCCCAGATCCCGCCCGAGCGGGCCCAAAGCGATTTCCGAAACGGTTCGAGACCCCCAAGATGGCCCCAAAACGTCCCAAGAAAGTCCCCAGATGCCGCCCAAGAGGGCCCAAAGCGACGGCCCGAGACGGCCCGAGACCCCCAAGATGGCCCCGAGACGCCCCGAGAAGCCCTGGACACGGTCTCAGAGGACCCCAGCCACGACCTCCGAGCCCAAAACTTCTCGCCGATCCTGACTCCACCTTCCCATCGACCTCCTCCTTCCTTCTGGAAACTTCGACACGCCTCAGAGAGCATCGGGCTTTCGCTGATCGCGCCCAGCCTTGGCGCGATCAGCGAAAAACCCGAAGGCTGCTGGCCACTGCACCACGCCGGCGGCGCGCCCGGCCCAGGACCGGAGACACCCCGGACACGGCCCGGAGGGCCTCCCGCCGCTGCGCCCTGCCCTCCAGCAGGCCTCGGCGACACGTGCGCGCTCGGGACCAGCGCCCCAGAGATCCAACGTCTCGAAAAAATATCAAGGCGGAGGTTTCTCGCCGATTGCGACCTCCAGAGGCCCTCGCCGGGCCCCGGGACCGTTAAGAAACGACGCAGGGTGCAACGCCAGTCCGGGGGGATGGGTCGAGACTGCCGGGGACCGCGCATGGAAACAATCACGACGTCGGATCTCTGCGGCCTGGACCTGCGGGCCGTGGACTCTCCAGGGGTTCACACCCGTCGGCTACAACGCCGGGATCAGCGCGTGCGAGAAGGGCGGGCAGTGGCAGCCGGCGCTGTCGCTGCTGAGCGGGATGCGGGCGGCGGCGCTGGAGCCCGACGTCATCTGCATTATAGCGCTGGGGGGGCCGCGTGCCAGGAGGGTGGGCACCGGGACGCGGCCGAAGCGGCCCTAGTCGCGGGCCTAGCGGGCCCTAGCGGCGGGCTCCAAGCAGGAGGGAAAAAGGCACACAGACACAAGGAATCATCGATTCCCAGGAGAACATGGAGAAATATGGGAAGTGGGGGGGAAGACAAAAACCCAGAAAATGTTGGAAAATATGGGGAATCCGGTTATTTGTGTGTATTTGTGTGTGCGTGTTTGTGTGTGTGTGTGTGTGTGTGTGTGTGTGTGTCCCAGGGCCCCTTCATCCAAGACGGTTGCAGATGGGCCCGAGACCCCAACCGACGGTCCAAGATATGGCCTCAGACGGCCCAACAGGGCCCCAAGACAGCCCAAGAGTCTTGAGGGCTCCAAGAGGCACCACAAGAAGAGCCCCCAGAGGCCAAAATCATTTATTTTGTTTGTTCCGGGAGTTTCTGGAGAGTTTGAGTGTCGACGCTTCAGGACGGCCCCAGAGGCTCCCAAGATCGCGGCACGACGACCCAAGAGGCCCCCAAGAGAGCTCCCAGGCGGCCCAAGAGGGCTCCAAGACAGCTCGAGAGGCCCCCAGAATGGCCCAGGACGGCCCCGAGAAGCCTCCCAGACGCCCCAGGAGGCCCCCCAAGAGGCCCAAATCAGATCCCAGGAGGCCCTGGAGAGGCTCGAAGACACCACCCAAACCGCCTCCAAGAGGGTTCCAAAGGAAGGTCTCCCCGAGAGTGCTGGGACCGCTCCGGCCACGCCCATGCGCCCCCTATGTTTGGTCTGGATGGGTGACACGTCCGGGAGTTCTCCCTGAAAGTGCTCCGGACAGGCCAGCTATTGGGGGCATGCTCCGCAGTGCCTTCAATCTCATCCTCCGGCCCACGCAGCCCGCGCGCATCCTCCGACCTCTTCGGGCGGCCACAGCCGCCACAGAACCCTGAAGCCCGCCTTCGAGAGGCTTCCGAGGGAGGCTGCCTCAGGAAGCTCTGGGACCGCGCCAGCCAGCAAGGAAAGTGAAGCTCCCCACGCGCCTCTGATGCCTTCCCTTCCTTTGCATCGGCTCCAGTCGGAGAACCTCCTTCGACCTCCCCAGGCGGCCACAGCCACCGTGGACTGTCGTTGAGAAATGAGGCCCGCATGATTATGTGTCTTCATGAATCGCTTATCTCACTCGCTGGCCCATTTCGCATCACTATGGCTGCGTGGTGGTGTGCTCGTGCCCTGTGCGAACAGTAGGGCCAGCAGGACTGTCCTCGAGGAGATCCTTGGAGATGTGGCTCGCACCCTGTCGAAGAGAGCCGATAGACTGCCCCAGAGGGCGCCAAGATGGCTCAAGAGAGCTCCAGCAGAGTTTCGAGACGTACCTGGGTTGTGGGTCAAAGTCCTCGTGGGTTTTTTGGGGGCTTCCTGGGCACCTCTTGGGGCCGAGAGCTCGAAATTTCTGTTCGGGCTCCCTCTCTGGGCCCCCTCTTGGGGCCATCCTGGGGCCGTCTTGGAGGCCTCTTGGACCGTCTTAGGGCCATCTTGGACCATTTCGGGGCACTCTTGGAGGCTTCTTGGGCTGTCTTCGAGCGATCTTGGGGCCTCTTGGGCCGTCCAGGCGGTCGGCAGCTCGAAAAGGCGGTACCGCCAAAACCGTCCGAAAACCGAAGCAAAATCAATGAGTTTCGGGGCATGTCGAAGTCCTCTTGGAACCCTCCTGGAGCGTCTTGGGCGCTTCTTGGGCAGTCTTGGGACCAGCGTGGGCCATCTTGAGCCATCTGGGCCTGAGGCCGTGGGGCGTGCCACCCTCTTGGCGCCTCACTGGGGCGCCCGGGGGGGCCCCCGAGGCCGCGCCCAGGAGTTCGGGCATCTCTGATCCGAACTTGCCAGGACTTTGACCAGACCTTGCCGGGGTAGTTCCCCCGGGAGGCCGCCGCACGCGCACGCGCTGGAGAAGCATTCTTCGACTCGGACCGGAGTTCTGATCGCGCCTCTGGCCCGTTGGGCAGGCGAATTGTCAGCCTTGGCCCAGCCACGGCCTCAAGGCGGCTCAAGATCAACCTGGGGCCGCCCAAACCGCCCCCGTTAATTACCCCCTGGAGGTGAGCAGCAACAGCACGCAGAAGCGGCAAGCAGTACCGACAACACGCAGCAACGGCATCGAGCAACAGCACGCAGCCATGGAGGCCCTGGCTGCGTGGACGATTTCGTCCACGCAGAGGCGGAGCATGCGAGCACCTGCGCTTTTGGAAGCACGTTGGGCCATCTCTGAGCACCCTTGGGGCCATCAGGGCCCGTGTGCGAGTCTTCCAGGGCCATCTGGAGCCATCAGGGGCCGCATCGGTCAGGGGCCGCATCGCGCCGTCTGGGATCCCTGGAGGCCCTGGCTGCGTGGACGACTTCGTCCACGCGGCAGCGGAGCATGCGACATCCCGGAGGCATCCTGGGCCATCTCTGAGGCCTCTTGGGGCTATCCAGGTGGAGCTAACTCAGTCCGCGACGCCCGCCTGGGAAGACAAGGACAACTGTGGCGACTGCGGCCGCGCCTCCAACGTTATCCTGAAAGCATGTCGGGAACACCTCCGCCAAGACCCCGCCAGCCTCGCCGACGAGCTTTCGTAGTCGGGAGTCCAACGGGTCGTCCTATCAGCTACAGCGCTGGAATCAGCGCCTGCGAGAAAGGCGAGCAGTGGCAGCGGGCGCTGACGCTCTTGAGCGAGATGTGGGAGGTGAAGCTGGATCCCAACGTCATCAGCTACAGCGCTGGAATCACCGCTTGCGAGAAGAGTGGGCAGTGGCAACAGGCCCTGAGCATGCTCAGAACCATGCGTTTGAGAAAGTTGGACGTTGGTTTCATGGTCTACGGAATTACAGCCAGCATGTGCGAGCAAGGCGGGCAATGGAGCCAAGTGCTGTATTTATTCAGGGAGGTGCGTGACCTAGTTGCAGGGGAATGATACAATACATGCCGTGTCCGATGCATCTGTTCTGTGCAGTTGCATCGCTGGGACCAGCGCGTTGGAGATGGGCGAGCAATGGCTGATGGCTTTGGCGCTGTTCAGCGAGGTGCGGGAGGCGAAGCTGGAGCTCGGCTTAGAATACAGTATTACAATACTAGGCTTAGCGCGTGCCAGAGGGGGAATTCAATCCGCCCGCCAGGCCCGCGGTGGCGGCGCCTCCGCGGCCACTTGCCCCGAGAGAGCCCCGCGAATTGCCCCAGAGGCCCCCAGAGCGCCCCACTGCCGCGCAAGAGGGCTCCCGGAGGGCCCACGAAGGCCCCCCCCCACCAGGTTCCACAAGGCTCCCATATAGCCTCCGAGGGGGCCACGAGGACGGAAAACTATAGCTCCTCACCAGAAGACGCCCAACCCGCCCCGAGAAGCTTTCCGATCCCTCGGGAGGGTCCAGGGAGTTCCCAAGAGAGCCACTACGACGGCCCCGGAGACCCTCCAGTCGGTCGGCTGCGGGGGACTCCCAAGATTGCCGAGCAGACCCCCACGGCTCAAGGGGAGGCCCAACAGGGCCAACCGTGGAGCGCTCCCCGCCCCTCCCGCCTTCCCCCCCACTGCCAGCGAGCCCCCAAGAAGCCCCCCAGGCTCCCAGGCGGCCTCCGGAACACTCCCCAGAGGCTCCGGAGGAGCATCCAGCAGTCCCCTCGAAACGGCCCCCGAAAGGCCCGCAGCAGCTCCTTCCAAAGGACCACGACAAGTTCCAAAGGGCCACGACAAGTTCCAAAGGGCCACGACAAGTTCCAGGGGGAAAAAACCACACACACGCACCACACCTTTCGGGACACCTCTCGCGTGTGAGGGGATACAGGAAATGGCTGTTCGATGTGGCCGCGGACATTTCGTCGCTTCTGCGACCCCTCCCGCGCCGAGCTGGTTCCGAGAGGTGTGGGCTGCGGCTGCTGCCCAGTCATCCTTGGGCCTCCTCCTCCTCCTCCTCCTCCCCGTCGTCGCTCTCCTGTGCCACAGGCTCTCCTGCCCGCGGAGTCGGGACCGCACGATCTCCCGGAGGGGGAAGAGGAGGAGGAGGAGGAGGAGGAGGAGGACGAGGACGAGGAAACCAAGGAGCACAAGGAGGAGGAGGAGGAGGAGGAGGAGGAGGAGGAGGAGCAGGAGGAGGAGGAGGAGGAGGAGGAGCAGGAGGAGGAGCAGGAGGAGGAGGACGAGGACGGGCCAAGCACGACGACGAGCAGGAGGAGGAGGAGGAGGAGGAGCAGGAAGAGGAGGAGGAGGAGGAGGAGAAAGAGGAGGAGGTGGAGGGCGAGGACGAGCCAGGCAAGATGAGGAAGAGGAGGAGGAGGAGGAGGAGGAGGAGGAGGAGGTGATGTAGCCGCCCCCCTGTGCCCGATATGCTGTGCCATTATGTTCCCACAGGGGCCTTGGCAAACTCTTCGGGCCAACCAGACCGGACCCCTGAGACAGCAGCCAATTGAAATGACCCAGGTACCTCTCCGCACTCTCCGGACCACAGACCCTCTGGGCGAGCAGAATGGGACTTGGCGAACAAACCCTCCCGTTGGCGGCGATGCGACTGGATCGTACCATCAAGGCGTGCCCGGAGGTGATGACCGATCCAGCAGCGGTTCTGTTAAGATTTTACTGAATTTCAGATTTTCTTTAAGTTCTCTTGGGCCCTCCCTGTAGATCCTTGCGCTCCCCGGCGCTTTCGGTGGTTTTCTCCGATGGCCTCCCGAGCACTTCCCCAGGCGCTCCTGAGACGCCTCAGATGGGCTTCGACTTCGACGCACATCTCCGAGAGACTTCGAAACTGCCCTCAATAGGAGGGGGGTGAATGAGCAGTGCGCCAGGGCCAAGCTGCTGGAGCGCTGCAAGAGCTCGGACACGAAGGCGCGGTCTCGCTGCCGCCGCCCTGGCCGCCGCCGTGTTTGTAGATTTTCGGTGCAATCTGCGCCGTTCCTCCGAGAACTATTCCAGAAAGATGTCGTGGACGGAGTCCACGGGTCAGCCCTAGTCGGCCACAATGCTGGGATTAGCGCGTGTCAGAAGGGCGAGCAGTGCCAGACGGCGCTGGCGCTGCTGAGCGAATGCGGGAGGCGAAGCTGGAGCCCTGCGTGATCAACTGCAGCGTTGGGATTGGCCCGTGCGAGAAAGGGCGAGCCGTGGCAGCGGGCCCTGGCGCTGTTAAGCGAGATGCGGGAGGCGAGGATAGAGCCCAACGACATCAGCTACAGCGGTTGGGCTCAGCATTCTGAAGCAGTGAGCAGCAGCGGGCGCTGGCGTTGTTGAGCGAGATGCGGGATGCGATGCTGGAGCCCGACGTCATCAGCTACAGCGCTGGGATCATTGCGTGCAAGAAGGGCGAGCACTGGCAGCGGGCCCTGGCGCTGCTGAGCGAGATGTTGGAGGTGAAGCTGGAACCCCACGCAGCCAGCTACAGCTCTGCGATCGCCGGTGTGCTGCGCAGAAGCGATGCGACAGGCTAATTAGTCAGCTTCAACGCTGGCAGCGGGCTCTCGCGCTGCTCAGCGAGTTCTGCGAGCCGAAGCTGGAGCCCGACGTCACCAGCTACAAATCTGGGTTCAGCGCGTGCGGGAAGGACGAGCAGTGGCAGCGGGCCCTGGCGCTGCTGAGCGAGATGTGGGAGGCGAAGCTACAGCCCAATGCAGCCAGCTAGAGCCTTGCGATCGTCGCTCTGCTGCGGAGAGGCGATGCGACAGGCTTGTCAGCCACAACGCTGAGGAACGGCGCGTGAGTGAAAGGTGGTCAGTGGCCGCGGGCTCTGGCGCTGTTGAACGAGATGTGGGAGACGATGTTGGGATTCGGACGTTATCAGAACTTTAGCGTTTTGATCACTGGGTGCAAGCAAGGACGAGCAGTGGCAGCCGACGCAGGCGCTGCTCAGCGAGATGTGGAAGGCAGTGCTGGAGTCCAGTGCGATCAGCAATTGCAGCGCTGGGATCAGCGCATGCTGGAAGGGCAACCAATGGCAGCGGGCTCCGTTGCTGCTTGGCGAGGCGTGGTAGGTGAAGTCGGCGCCCGATATCATCAGTTACAGCGCTGGGAGCAGCGCGTGCGCTGTGCGGCCAGATGCGCGAACGTTGGAGCCCAGCGTCATCTTTATCACAGCGCTGGGACCAGCGGTTGCGAGAAGGGCAAGCAGTCGCAGCAGGCCTTGTCGCTGATCTGCGCGACGTGGGAGGCAATTGCACGGAAGTCCGGCCGGAATGGTACAGCGCTGGAATCAGCGCGGGCTGGGAGGGCGACCAGCGGCAGCGCTCAGGGAGACGTTGAAGGCGGTACTGGAGCCCGCCGTCGTCAACTACAACGTTGGGATTTGGGCTCGGACGTTACTCGTGGAGATGTGGGAGGTGAAGTTGAAACCGAGCGTCCTCAGCTACAGCGCTGGCACAAGCGCGTGCGGAAGAGGCTAAGGGTGGCTGCGGGCTCAGACGTTGCTCAGCGAAATGTAGGAGGCAAAGCGGGGGCCCAACATCAGCAGCTACACTGCTGGAGTTGGTTATTGCGAAACATGCAAGCGGCAATGGGCGATGACGCTGCTCTGGGCCGAGCGTCACCAATTGCATCGCTGGGATCGCCGAGTGCGGGGAGGGCGGGAAGTGGCAGCGGGGCCTGGTGCTGCCCAGGGAAGCGTGGGAGGCGAGGCTGGAGGCCAGCGCCAGCAGCCACAGCGCAGGGGCCAGGCCGTCCGAGCAGGGCGCACGCAGGCCGCTGGTTGTCGTGGCGCTGCCGAGCGAGACGTGGGAGGCGGAGCTGGAGCCCGACGTCATCTCGCTGGCGCTAGCTCCCTGGAGCGCCGAGCAGCCGCAGCGGGCTCTGCAGATGCTCGGCCGCGGAGGCGACGACGGAGCGGCTGGAGAAGCGTGCGTCCGAGCTCGTGGCCAAGCTCTCCGAGAAGCAGAAGCTGCGGAAGACGGCAAGAAGCGACGCATCTCCCGCGAAGGGCCCGCTGTTCGAGGTGGCAGGGCGAGCCGACGTGACCCAGCGGCCCTTGAGTCCCGTGCCCGGACGGCATGCGGCGGGGCGCGCCATGTTTCCCTGCCTGCCATTTTCTCCTTCCCGTGTCTTCCCCCCGCCCCCGGGACAGCCTCGAGGACGGTCTCTCTTCCGGCTTCGGTCTCTCACCATGCACCATGCCAGTTTTTTGCCGAGATCCCTCGATTCTTGGCGTGGTCGTTTTCTTCCTGCTCGCCTGAGTCACATCATCACCTGCATCCGCGAACCTTCCTCCCATCCCCGCCTGCCCTCCTGCTTTTCCCTCCCTCGGGAGGAGATACGGCAGGAACAGGAAGTGATGAGGGACGGGGATGTTGCCTGGTCCTCCAGCGGCCTCCGACGCCGAGCTGGAAAACGATTGAATCGCCCAGGCCGTCCTCCCCGTCCTGGAAAACGATCGAATCGCCCTGGCACGTGTACATGTACGCAAGATGTCGCGAAACAGTACGAGTACCAAGCCCAAGAGTTGCCTACCTCTGGGTCGCCTCTGTCCCATCCCCTTCTACTGGTTGGGCCCTCGTTGTTGAATGAACTGCTGCTGGTCCCCGTTCTCCCCCCCTCTTTCTCCTCCTCCTCCTCCTCCTCCTCCTCCTCCTCCTCCTCCTCCGCCCCCCCGCCTCCGGAGGTCCCTGGAGGTCCCCCGCCGAGGCCGCCTGCCCTGCTCGCCCGACTGCCCCGAAACAGCCCGGCGCGGTTGTCTGGGGTGGCGGGGGTTTAGGGGGGGTGGGCCTCTCGAGCCGAGGCCGCCTGCCTTGCCTGCCCTGCCCGCCCGGCTGCCCCGAAACAGCCCGGCGCGGTTGTTTGGGGTGGCGGGGGGCTGGGGGGGGTGGACCTGGGATCATCGCCCCCGATGCCGCCTCTCTCCTGCCCCTACCCGGACCCCCCTTGCTGAACCCCCGCGCGCGCTTTCTCCTCTGGATCCTGCTCTCCTTCTCCTTTTCCTTCTCCTTCTCCTTCTCCTCCCCCTCCTCCTCCTCCTCCTCCTCCTCCTCCTCCTCCTCCTCCTCCTCCTCATCGTCGCTTCCCTTCGTCCCTGTCTTCCTCCTCCGCCTGCGAGCGCGCCGCGCGCCGGGCCCCAGCCCAGCCGAGGGGCCGCGCCTGGGAGGTTGCCTTGCCCTTCGCCCCCTCTGCTTCCCCCCTCCCTCCTCCCCCCCCGGGCCGCGCTGGAGCCCGCGGGGCTGCCAGCGGGCTCCTGCGCAGGCCGAGCCCGCCCGGCCCGCCCGACAGCTCTGAGGTGGCTCCTCCCGCCTTCGGCAGGCCGCTCGAGGCCGAGGGGCTGGGGGGGCAGGGCCCACTGCCAGGGCAGGGCCCTCATCGCTCGGACGTGTGCCTTTTTTCTCGGCGAGGGCCATCGAGGAGCATCCTTGATCGTTTGGCGACAAAGCCACGCACGAAACCGAACAAAAACACAGTGAACGGACGTCCGAGCGATGGCCAGGGGGGGGGATGTGCAGTGCCGCCGCGGCTGCCCGGCCTGCGCGGCGCCCCCCCCCCTTGGGCGCGGGCCAGGGAGGGGCGGCGGGGGCCAGGTGGCACGGACGAGCGTGCGTGCGCTCCCCCCCCCCCCGGTCGGGCGTTGCCAGAAGTGCCGCCCCTGGACCGTGGTGCCCCCAGGAGCTCCAAGGAGGCCCCCACGGCCTTCGGAGCACCCCTCACGAGGCCTGGAGGGCCCCAGGGGCTCGCAATTGGAGCGAAAAGCTGGGGGCACCCTGGGCCAGGGGCACCTGTGGCAACCCCCGACCCTGGGACGCTGGCCCGCCGAGTCCGGCTGCGTTGGCCCTTGGGCTCCTCGGGGGGGTGGCGCTCGCGGTGGGGCGGCCTCGGCCCGGAGGGGTCCTTTCCTTCACCACTCGAGCAGTGCGAGGAACAGCCCGGGCCTGGCAGGAGCCTGCAGGGCCGGGGTCGCACTGGCTCGGGCTTGGGTGCAGGATCCTGCAGGATCACGGAGGATCCTGCAACGCCTGGCTGGCCCGGGTCTGGATTGACCCGGGTCAGTAGATCTCCGAGCATGTTGGGGGCTCTCTTGCGGAACATCGGGGGTGGACAGACCTCCTGCCCTGACACGCCGATCAGCGAATGGGCCGTGTTCGGTTCGCGAGAGGGCGCCGCGGCCGTCACTTTTGCGGGTCCAGGTCCGTCGGTTGGTTTCTCGGAACGACCGACATGGGCACGGAAAGAATGGGCACGATGCCCAACAGGATTTCTTGTTCATTCTGAGCAGGACTCGCTGTCGGTGCCGCCGCGGCCTGTGTCCATCTGAGACAGAAGGCCGCCTGCCCAACAGCGGCCGCTGTTGGTTTAGGACGACATTTGTTGTTGGGCATTGTGCCCATCTTTTCCGTACCCATTTCGGGCGTCCAAAGCTTCGGTTCCGGGCCGTCTTCACTAAGGGAGGTTTGCTATAAAGGGAGGTTTCCCCCCCGCCGAGAAAAAAGCCCGCGCACGAGGCCGAAGTGGGCACGAGGAGTGTGGGCGTCCGAGCGGCGGCAGGGGCCGTGTCCAGGCCAGCCCCTTTCTGGAGCGCTCGCGCCCGCGGCGCGCGCCTGGCTCGAGGCTTGGCTCGCTCGCTCCGTGGCAGGGGGGCAAGGCGCGTTTCGATTCCTCCGATTCGATTCGATTCGACTTCGATGGATTCCGATTCCGATTCGATTCGATTTCGGATTCCGATTTGGGGTCCGATTTCTTATTGGACGCATACTAGCCTGTCGATTTCCGCCGATTCGACTTTTCCCGACTCGGCTGCCGATTTCCGCCGATCCGGTTCATTTCGACCGCCGTTTCGACTTATCGCTTCGATTCTAGGCCCTCCTGGGGGGGTATAGCAGGGCAGGGCCCATCCGACTTCAGTCGGGCATGCCCATGCTAAATCGGGTATGGCCCTCTGCCTGGGGTCGATTCTGTCTGATTGTATTCTGGATTCCCCACCCACCAAACCACCCCAACCCAACCCCAAGGCCTCAGGTTGCCCTCCATTTCCTGTGGGGGGGGTCCGGGAACATCGAAGAAACACACACACACATGGAGCCCATACCCCCCCAGCCCGAATTCGGGTCCTCGAGTTGGGTTGTTGTGGTCTGGTAGGTAGTCGAGAATCTCTTTGACCATGTTTCCTTGTTCGTTCCGCATCCGCCCGTGGGAGGACACGCCCGACCCAAATCTCGACCCGATGGCTCCGATTCAACGTCGGCTTCGGCCGGCCCGATGCGATTCGATGCTGGTGTTTCGGGCGATCCGAGGCGGCCCGATGCTTTCTACGATCGAAGAAAAAGAACGCCATAACCATACATTTATAAACTTTCTGTAAACTGTTGGCCCAAAGGGGTCCCCCAATGGCCCAATGCGATGCGGCAGTAGCGTTATGTCGGGCGTGCCCCCCTACAGGGGGATTTTCGACGAAACAAATACCCCAAAATTACCCCAAAAGGGTCAAAACATACTAGAAAAATAGTTCCCAGACTATTTTTGGACTATTGTTTCACTTTTTTCTGGGGATTTGTTTATTTTTCTTCGAAAATCCCCCTGGATTGTTTTTTTTTATTTTTCTTCGAAAATCCCCCTGTAGGGGGACAGGCTCGATGCGGCAGTAGCGTCTTGCGGCTTGTGCGTTGGACACGCCGCGGCCCGCCAGAAGCCGCGCATCAAAGAGCACCCTTTACCCAGGGCAGCACTCCTCCTCCTCCTCCTCCTCCTCCTCCTGAAACCTGAGGAGTACCAGATACTACGGGACAGACGAATGGAACTATTACAAAGACGAAGAGACCTTCGAGAGCAACTACGACGCGAAGGAGATCGCCTACTCATCACGATCGCAGACTCGACCAAGCTGGACACAGCCAAGGTAGACTACATTCCACGGGAAAATCCGACCAACAACCCCTACGCGCAGAACTCGGACCAGCCAGGAGCAGAAGACGAACTCGATCCCCGCCGCCTACGACTGGACTACGTCGAGACCGAACTCAAGAACATCACTGCTACCTGCGCAGCCTGGCGCAAACTCGAGTACCAGCGGAAGACGGACGCCAGGGTGGA